AAGTGGGATTTATTGCCAGATTGGTGAAGAGTGATATATGACTGCAATTTCACCCATATCAACAAAAGCCAACCATAAGCAGAACATCATAGTAACTATAACTTACAGATACCTATTGCCATCTATATATATCAAATTAATTCTGAACTTACATTGAGGATTAAAAAGGCAGAAAATAAATCAAATTTTGAAGGTACTGTAAGCACTATTGGGAATAAGCTGCTCTTGGTTCTGTTTTTCTGTGAATAATGAAGTAATTTACTCTTTTTGATAAAAAATTGTACCTTGCTGTTTTGAAATTAATCGGGTTTCTGAGTCTAGGAATCAGTTCTTAACTAAACCACTTGATCAGAAAGTCTGTTCCTATAGGACAACTATTATCATTCCTTTCTTATTAAAAGCAGCAAGTATCAAACATAATCTGTGAATGTATGATTCCATCTTCATGTATGGTAGGGTTAGTTTTTGTGGTGGTTGGCTGTGTGGTGTGTTGTGGTTTGGGTGCTGTGTGTTAGAACACATTTTTCAGATAGGCGTTATGGAGAAAACTGTCAAGCAGCTGTTTTGTCTTCTGCTTTTCTTAGTGTTGTGGTGCTGCAGTGTGCTCTGGCCTTTCTGAAGAGGGTTTGGACACAGCTTCTTTTGTGTGTGGTGGGATGGTTGCTTGCGAAGCTGAAGATCTGGTCCATGTGCATAGGTCTGCAGTAGATGCGGGTTTCCAGCTCTCCATTGTCTAGTCTCCTTATATCAATATTGAGGAATGGTAGACTGTAGCCTGTTTCTTCTTTGTGTTTGAATTTAATCCCAGGGAATATGTTATTGAGTAGGTGGTTTGTTTCTTCAATTTGGGATCCTCACTTGACACACCTACACCTGACCAATCACGAGACTCATCACAAGACCCTGACTTGATGCAACCCTGGCCTGACGTGATCTTATCATTACAAGACCTACTGATCACACAAAGCCTTTACAAACAGAAGAACACTGACATCCCCTAAACCCTGCTGAAGCTGTTACCTAGCCTGTTAACAACACATTTGGAAACCAACCTACAAGCTCAGAGAGTAAACCTTCACCCTCAAACTCTATTTTTTATTTATTTCTTCCTGTATGCTACCTGTCATGAATATAAATGCTAAATGGGCGGTCTGCATCTTTAAAAGCATATATATCAAAATGATCTACTACTATAATTATCTTTCTCAAATATACTTTTTTCACTATTGGAGTAAAGAGTTATCCAACCATTTTATTACTTATAAATGAAATTATGTTAATTTTACATTTAAGCAAAATAGCCATTCTCAAATAAATTAGTGACTGTTCCCATTATCTCTTTGTTGGAAAGTTGATTTCAAAAACAAAGATAGGGAGATCATGGATATAAAATAAGCTCAGAAAACAATACGTTCATGGGGAAATCAAAGACTATGGGGAAAAAAAAGATTGATTATAGAGAAAAGGGATACATATCAAACCCTACTAAGAGAAAAAAGATTTTTACAAACGTTTGTAAAATCAGGTGCACCCTGGTTCTGAAATTAAATTACTTTTCAGAAGCAATTTAGATCAGCCTGGTGTAATTAAATAGCATATTCTGAGGGAAAAAAGCCCAGCATTCCTGTCATATATAACCGGTAGTCCTCAACTTACAACAGTTCATTTAGTGACTGTTCAGAGTTACAAGAGTACTGAAAAAAGTAATGTATGACCTTTGCAGCATCCTCATGGTCATGGGATTTACATTCGGATGCTTGACAACTGGTTCATATTTATGACGGTTGCAGTGTTCTGGGGTCATGTGATCATCTTTTGTGAATTTCTGAGAAGCAAAGCCAATGGGGAAGCCAGATTAATTTAACAACCTTGTTACTAATTTAACAACTGCAGTGATTCACTTAACAAATGTGGCAAGAAAAGTCATGAATGGGATAAAACTTACTTAACAAATGTCTCACTTAGAAACATAGGTTCTGAGGTCAATTGTGGTTGTAAATTGAGGACTACAACCTGTACATCCCACTTTATGGCCCTAAAAAGTTGATATGATAGACTGAAAGGTCCCCGAGTCCAAATCTTGTTCTGTGCAAGAAGATTTTAAGCTAAGGCTGACTGACATCTATTAGGATAACATAAAAGTTCTTTGGAAGGGAACAAATACTAGTTAAAGACAGTGGTAAAGGTCACAAAATTCAGGGGATTTACTTCAGAATACCTCCCAGGCTGCTTGGTTGAAATCCTTTACCTAACATTCTGAAATGCATAGCCGAATTAACACTTACTTAAATTATTATTATCCAAGCAACTTGCAGCACCTAGCTGGTCTTGGCAGACACTGAAAAATTTAAGTGAAGTACTTGGATGGCCAGTCCCTAGGGAATTCTACTGCTGTAGGCCAGGCAGGGAATTTGAAAGAAAACAATGACAAATCACTTCTATATTATTGTTGCACAATCTGGCATCATCAGATGTTGAACTCGATTTTAAAAAAGCTACATTTTAAATAAGTAGAATAGAATTGGCCACAAGAGGAAGGAGACACATTATTTTCCACATACAATAACCAGTTGCCATTATACTAAAAATTGGTCATAAAAAACATTTTGCTGGATCAGATAAAAACTTCAATTAGTCTTTCATTTTGTCTTCCAGTAGGCCAGCTATAGACCCAAAAGGTATATGTTAAAAGGATAGAGAAGTACTGGTATATAGAAATAAACATACTCTAAATACTTAATCCAGTTTATAATAGAAAATCATTGTTGCCCTTTCTTATGCTCAATAATCTAAGCCCTCCTATTAGGTTCTGGCTATACTGCTACGAATTAGAAGAAATGAAGCTGTATATTTTCAGGACTCCAAGTTGTGGAAAGCTGGTTAAAAACTATTGACTATTTCATCTGGAGCTAAATAATTCCGTGTGTTAGCATACTTTGAAATGCTGTTGCTCTGGAATTATTTTTAACTATTGTTCTTTCATTAAAGATGTAAATCAGGAAAAGGTTATGATTGCTTAACATAATAATAAAGTACTATAACTATATAATAATGGCTGGAAGCAGATGATTTTTAAAAAAATATTTCCATCATTTTTGTTAGGGTTAGGATAATTGTGAGCATAAGGATGTCTCAAAATTTGAAAGTTTTGTTGCCATTGTTGTGTTGTTAAATAGAAAGGGCTATTGAGAACCATATTTCAACACAAAGATCATCAAGTAACCCAAGAGTTGCTAGGATTAATTATTATGAGACTGAGACCTAGAAAGAGTTTTATCATCCACTGCAAACAGAAAAAAAACAATCAAGTTTTGTATATACAGAAATCTTGTGATAATCCAAATGAACAAAATTACTGAATTCTTTCACTCATATGGGTTTTACTGATATAAATATGAAAGTACTTGTAAATCTTGATAACAGAAACTATATCAAGGAGAGCCTGTCAACAGTAGTTTCTGGATAGTGTGGATTACACTCACCACTGCAAATACTTTTTAAAGCCTTTTTTTTTTATTCTGCAGAAAGAATTAATTTTTCCTTCATTAGCTTAGCACCAAAATTAGTATTTGCATTGTCTGCACCAAATCCAAAACTTATTTCTTAGCTTATTCCTGACAAAGTACTTAAACATTTCTCCACCTATTATATAGCAACTTTGTGTCCAGATAAAGTCTAACAATTGTTTCCTTCACAAAAGGTAATTGGTTCTCTTTTATGTCTTATGGGAGGGGCCAATCATCTCCGAGGTGTGGCCTTACTCCTGAGTCGATCCTGCTTTCTCAATTGTTCTTGTCTTCTGGTAGCTCTGCGCATGCACAGGCTGGGAACCGGTTCCAGAAACTCCCCTGCCTCACTGCCTGTCTTGAGTTTGAAGGCAGCTGATGACTGCCAGCCTGACCCCATCCCTGCCTCCGATTCAGAGCCCTCATCTGAGCCCTCCTCAGCCTCCAAGACTGGCCAAGGTTCCTCCCAAATCTCCTCACTACTGTCTGATTCTGCTGCCAGTTCCATCAGTAGGCCACAACACTGTGTCCTGTTTTCGCTAGCAGAGACACCAGAGCTGGCCCTTTGCTATTTCCAGGCTAGCCCGTAGGCCAGTTTTAAGAACCCAGCGGGCTGGATCTGGTCTGTGTGCCTTGAGTTTGACACCCCTGCTGTAGAGGATATCTGGGGTATAAAAATAGAGAATTCCCAGCCACTAAGGTAACAGTGAAATATCATAAAATCTTACCTGCGAGCATAACGTAATGTAAAATCTGTTATCTTTCTTTCCTTCTGAGAGCTTAAGGGAAACTGGACTGTATATACAATTCTGATAGATTCTTAAACAGATAAAAAAGGTGGGATCCAAGCCATCCGGACTGAGTCCAGGAAGATGGTGCTTTGCAATATGGCAAAATAGTATCTTGTTTAAGTGTGTTTGAAAATATTTCCTAATGGTTATGAGAAATAATGCCAATTACATCATTCATATGTACAAATTATCCTGTTATAGTTAGCACATGAGTACATGGATATACCACTGGAAAAGTAAAAATACACATCTATGGGTTGGAGCCAGAAAAAATGGTTTTCCTTCTTGTCCACAAGAAAGAGGACAGAATGCTCTTTTATGCAAATTCTCTTTTGTGTATTTCTCATGATTGAACAAAGCTGCCCTAGAGGACTGGTAGAAAATTTGTGAGAGCTGACTAACAGAGGCTGTAAGAATTACTAAATATTCTTTGGTTACTATGAAATAAAGCTTTACAGGCTTTTTTATTGTATAACCAATATTGAAGAATTACTTTGGGTTATAAACAGAAAATACGGTGTTAAACTCATGCTTCTTAATTTATAGCAAGGAAATTTGATACTGCAAATGGAATAAAACTGATGATATACAACTTAATTTTGATTCCATTTACAGTTTAAGTCTTCTTTAATGGAGTATACAGGGAAACCTGTGTCACTAATTTCTCCTCTTCCCCATCATCAGAAAGCAAAATAATCTCCCATTTTAAGCACTTTTTAGGATGTCTCATTTCCATTTATTTTAAGAAACAAATATTTCAGTTTTTTATTTCATTCTTGCAACAGTTTATAAAAATTCAGTGTACTAAATATTTGTGCAAACATACATACAGGAGCTTGTTCAATGTATTCCTTCCAAACAGGCTCAAGTAGTATTCCATTCTGTCAAATTCAGCACAATCTCATTTGTCTGATTGCATTATGAAACAATGAGATACTTTAATGTAAGTTTATTTCCTCTCCTTATAAGCATTTCATGTAAGTCGTAAATTTACTCATCCTCAGAGAAACGTATATGCTTGCTTATCTCTTGAGTCTTTAACAGTCTCATTTTTTCAGCTTTTGCTATCAGCTATAAAAAGAAAAAAATATATTGTATTACTATTTTAATTCAGAAAATATGAACAATATCCATAAAACTATCATTTGAAACAAAAAAACTTTAAAATAAAATATATACTTTATTTGGACAAGGGCAGCCCAATTGCCTGTAGACAATTTTAATTTAATTTTAATTAGTCATAGCTTACTTTTGGCAATTTTATGCATTTTACTGAATTGCTCTTCATATGTACCTCCAACTTAAAAAAATCCTTTAAAAGGTTGGCTTAATCATTAATTTTATACTTAATACTTAATCATTAATTTTATCTCAAATATTTTTTTAAAAGATTTGCAGAAACTTAGTGGGCAATATAGACTTACCAAATGAGAAAACCTTAGTAAGCAACATGGTGGAATGGAGATTCAAACTTGGTTTATTTAGTGCCAATTAGTCTACCATGGTTTAGAATACTTTTATTTGGCCAAGTGGGTTCAGAAACACAAGGAATTTGTCTCTGGTGCAGAGGCTTTAATCTTAACAACTTCCACAAGGACTGAAGAATTCTGGATGGTGTAGTCTCAAGCATTTTTTTTTAACGAAACAGTTAGGATTTACTTTTGGATCCAGGTTATCCCTCAGTTTTTTACACAATCTATAATGTTTTTTTTTTTTGAAATAATGCCTAATTCTGACTAACATTAGCATTCTCATTACTTCTGTTGCTAACCATGACACCAGGTGTCCACAACACTTCATGATGGCAATTCCTGCAGTCCCCATGGCTATTGTTAAGTGAGGTTCAGTGATCATTAAGACCTCTTTGCAACTTTTTGCCAGCTTCCAACAGCTAAAGACTGTGGTGAAGGCAGCTTGCAAGCAGGCTACCCAGCAAAAAGCTATTATCACGTAGGAGATGGTATGTGGATAGCTGACAAAATGTAGCATGAGTTCAATGAGGCTTGGGAAGGAGAAAAGTGAGGTAGACACAATGTGAATATGAGGTTCAGAGAGTGTGCACAAGAATGGCTAGATATGTTTGGCTCCCAGACAGTGGGGGGTGCAGGGACGGAATGTGAAGGGTCAGAGAGGTAGGGATGCACAATGTGAGTGTGGTGGGGGTGGCTTCTGAATTGGGAAGGGGGCTGTGATCTTACCTCCAGTTTACCCATTGACTTTGCTTGTGGAAGTCAGCAAGAAAGATTGCAAATAACAATTATACAACACTGTAACTGTTTTGTAACTGCAAGCTGATTACTAAGTAACCAGACTGCTACTACACTGCTCAAAAAAAAATAAAGGGAACACTTAAACAACACAATGTAACTCCAAGTCAATCACACCTCTGTGAAATCAAACTGTGCACTTAGGCTGCAACACTGATTGACAATCAATTTCACATGCTGTTGTGCAAATGGATTAGACAACAGGTGGAAAGCATAGGCTGTTAGCAAGACCTCCCCAATAAAGGAGTGGTTCTGCAGGTGGCGACTACAGACCACTTCTCAGTTCCTATGCTTTCTGGCTGATGGTTTGGTCACTTTTGAATGCTGGCGGTGCTTTCACTCTAGTGGTAGCATGAGACGGAGTCTACAACCCACACAAGTGGCTCAGGTAGTGCAGCTCATCCAGGATGGCACATCAATGCGAGCTGTGGCAAGAAGGTTTGCTGTGTCTGTCAGCTTAGTGTCCAGAGAATGGAGGCACTACCAGGAGATAGGCCACTACACCAGGAGGCATGGAGAAGGCCGTAGGAGGGCAACAACCCAGCATCAGGACCGCTACCTCCACCTTTGTGCAAGGAGGGACAGGAGGAGCACTGCCAGAGCCCTGCAAAATGACCTCCAGCGGGCCACAAATGTGCATGGGGTTGCTCAAACGGTCAGAAACAGACTCCATGAGGGTGGTATGAGGGCCCGATGTCCACAGGTGGGGGTTGTGCTTACAGCCCAACACTGTGCAGGACATTTGGCATTTGCCAGAGAACACCAAGATTGGCAAATTCACCACTGACGCCCTGTGCTCTTCATAGATAAAAGCAGGTTCACACTGAGCACATGTGACAGACGTGACGGGGTCTGGAGACGCTGTGGAGAATGTTCTGCTGCCTGTAACATCCTCTAGCATGACCAGTTTGGCAGTGGGTCAGTAATGGTGTGGGGTGGCATTTCTTTAGGGGGGCGCACAGCCCTCCATGTGCTCTCCAGAGATAGCCTGACTGCCATTATGTACCGAGATGAGATCCTCAGACCCCTTGTGAGACCATATGCTGGTGTGGTTGGCCCTGGGTTCCTCCTAATGCAAGACAATGCTAGACCTCATGTGGTTTGAGTGTGTCAGCAGTTCCTGCAAGATGAAGGCATTGATGCTATGGACTGGCCCGCCCGTTCCCCAGACCTGAATCCAATTGAGCACATATGGGACATCATGTCTCGCTCCATCCACCAATGCCACGATGCACCACAGACTGTCCAGGAGTTGGGGGATGCTTTAGTCCAGGTGTGAGAGGAAATCCCTCAGGAGACCATCCGCCACCTCATCAGGAGCATGCCCAGGCATTGTAGGGAGGTCATACAGGCATGTGGAGGCCACACACACTACTGAGCCTCATTTTGACTTGTCTTAAGGACACTACATCAAAGTTGGATCAGCCTGTAGTGTTTTTTTCCACTTTAATTTTGAGTGTAACTCCAAATTCAGACCTCCGTGGGTTGCTAAATTTGATTTCCATTGATAATTTTTGTGTGATTGTGTTGTCAGAACATTCAACTATGTAATGAACAAAGTATTTAATAAGAATATTTCATTCATTCATATCTAGGATGTCTTATTTTTGTGTTCCCTTTATTTTTTTGAGCAGTGTATATGACTGCAAGGGTGCTGGGATGGCCGGAACCTGGAGGACTGGTTGTAAAAAGTAGTTGGCAACCAAGGAATACCTGTATTAATATTGGTTAATACTTCTTTTTAGCCAAAATTATTTTACCTTAATATTGTCAATTTAGTTTTGGATATTTGAATGCCAATTCCCATGTGCTGCTTTGTGACCACAATAAAGTTTCTTTGTTTCAGTTATTGGACTGGTGTTAATACAGTTTTTCCTGTATTCCTCAACAGTTTCAACAAAAAGAAGTCTTGAGATATACTGTATTAAAGACTAACAAATGCACTACTACATATAATTTTGCAGCAGAATGTGATGATGGAAAATCTGGGCAGTAACAAATTTGTTCACCTCTGAAATGGTACATAATTTTACTACAGAACCACTGAACTATCTTAAAAAATTAAAGCTGCTTTATATTGATAAGTAGTTTTAGCAGTGCTAGATGGATCAATTTAGTTTATTACAGTCAAAAACCAGAGACCAGAACAAATAAAAACACTCAGTAAATATACAATTAAAAATTCTAATATAATAAATAACTAAAATCTATGATAAAATCCAGTCTGTTGATTGTATACGGTCTAACTATACTAAAATTACAATCCATAAACTGTGTGGCCCATAGTCAGTTTAATACTAAAAGCGAAAGGAGTGCAATGAGTTTGCCACATTTGTTGTATAAAATAGCTATGGATTGGACATGTTTTTCCTACGAATCCCCAGTGCTGCTGTGCAGAATCTAGCCACCTGCACTGTGGTTATGGACTGTTCATCCCTAAGCAGCCATGAGAGAAGCTAAATCACAAGGTCTTATTCTGATTGATATTAGATCTCAAAAGTCTCAGTGCATCTGAATTTGTGCATCTCCCATTGAAAAAATGAAACCTGGCATTTTATTAATATCTGTGTATGAATTAGAAGTCCCAGATCATTTGTCTTACTTTTTCTGTGCCTCTCTTCTTTTCTCTAGGTTGATTCAGTTTAGCTTGTCGGTCCACTAGGATCTTCTGCCAGTATCTTTGTTCATGATCACCTTAATACAAGTGCATTGAACCAAAGTATACAATTTTACTTAATATGCTGTGCCAATACATTGTTATTCTTGCATTAGAAATATGTTATCACACCCATAACAATAAAGAAATGTGTACACATGAATAGGACTAAATCGTGATGGGAGACATGGGCAGAAAGCATGTTAATCCAAAAGCACATAAAGTCCTATGCATAAATGGTACCCTGATAAACCCATTTAAATCTCTACCTTAAGCACACAAAATCATTAGACATGAGAAGTAAAAGTATCATGTACAGCCACTTCCCCCATTTATTCCTACTTGGATGAAAGTGACTGACATAACTTACTTCTGAAAAAGGAAACATTTTAGAAGAGAAAACACTGCAATTCTTTTCAAGTTATACAACATGCATCTTCCTTCTGTTTCTATTCTGTACTGTTGACTCTGTACTGCATGAATAAATAAATATTTTATTTTTAATAGGAGCTCTTAGTATAAATACTGCCTTAAAATCCTATCAAAAGGAGTGGAGGAAGAAGCGAAGAGCAAATATAAGAACTCAAAACCTGTTCCTGATTTTACATTCGTTGAAATATGACTAAGAGAGAGGGAGAGAAAATACATTACATTTGTATATAAATGTGAAAAGTCAACATTATAAAAGATAAATGAAATATTTAATTATTTTAGCCCTTCCATCAGAGATCATTTATTGAATGACCCCACTTTTACACAGTTGTATACATGGGCCTTAACGTTTTGAAAACAATAGTTAAAAATTAAAGGAAAGCAGAGGAAAATAGGACTTGAATTTTTCCTTGTTATGTAATAATTTCAAGGGTCAAAGAATAAATGATAATGTAGGAATAAGAAACACAGCACTTTTAATCAGCTTGTCTGTTTATATACTATTGGACTGCTCTCCATCATCTTAATTTAAAAGGGTTTATATAGGTAGTTCTCAACTTATGACCACAATTGAGCCCAAAATTTATGTTGCTAACCGAGACATTTATTAAGTGAATTTTGTCCCATTTTATGCCCTTTCTTGCCTCAGCTGTTAATTGAATCACTGCGGTTGATAAATTAGTAACCCCGCTGTTAAGCAAATCTGGCTTCCCCATTGACTTTGCTTGTCAGAAGGTTACCAAAGGGGATCATATGACCTTGAGGCATAGCAATGGTCATAAATATGACTCAGTTGCCAAGCATCTGAATTTTGATCCTGTGACCATGGTGATGCTGCAAAGGTCTGTGAAAAATGGTCATGTCACTTTTTTTCAGTCCTGTTGTAATTTTGAATGGTCACTAAGTGAACTGTTGTAAGTCGAGGACTACCAGTATCTAGCAATTGGTATTCCAGACAAATTGTAATCCCTATTAACAGTGATTCTCTTTTTAACAAAGGGAAATGTATGGTTTATGTTCCAGACACAAACATAGAAGTGATACCAGTTAGATTTGGAAAAAAATTCTGGGGGATAAGTACCAGAATACCTAGAGTTATAACCTTAACAAATGTTAAACTATTCCCAAAATTGATATTACATGTGCACACCACATAAATGTAAAATGCTTAACCTCACCTGTAAGGATCTCAAGTTTCCAGTTGTTCTTTGTCTGCAGGTCTTTATGTGAGTTTATTAAAAGTTGTGCATCTCCAGGTGTTTTAACCCGTACGTGACATTCTGTATCTCCTTCCAGCAGATCAACATAAGCAACATCAGCGAGTGTTGTTAGCATGTCCTGTGATGAAATGGATGCACCACAGCAGATACATTATATTACAATCTCTTCTTAACTTATGTACTTGTTAAGAAGAGAGAAGAAGGAAAATAACAATATTTTTTAATCACACAGTGGGGACAAAAATGTACACAGAAAAAAAAAGCAAATGCTACAAATTTAGAAAAATATAATTGACTGCAATACAATAATGCTCAAGAAATGAGTAAGAATTCCATTTATATCTTTATCTTTGTGAAATATATCCTTACCTCCTTTGCTCCATCTCTACCTCTCTCATACATAGTGTTGTAGCTCTCTAAAATCCAATTGATTAGGGCACAGATTTTCAAGATATACAGTTCTAATCAATGTCTGGCATGAAAGACCAGGGTTACATGTTAAGTTCCAATTAAACAACAGATAAATAGCAGATAATCAGAGTTGGAAGGGACCTTGTAGGTCATCTAATCCAACCCCCCGCCCAAGCAGGAGACCCTACACTATTTCTGACAGATGGGAGTCCAATCTCTTCTTGAAAGTCTCAAGTGATGGCGCTCCCACAACTTCCAAGGAACAGCTGTTCCATTGGTTGATTGTTCTCACTGTCAGAAAGTTTCTCCTTATTTCCAGGTTGAACCTTTCTTGTTCAGTTTCCATCCATTATTCTTTGTCTGGCCTTTGGCTGCTTTAGAAAATAGCTTGACCCCCTCCCTCTCTGTGGCGGGCCCTCAAATATTGGAACACTGCTGTCATGTCTCCCTTGGTCCTTCTCTTTACTAGACTAGCCAAGCCCAGTTCCTGTAACCGTTCCTCCTATGTTTTAGTCTCCAGTCCCCTAATCATCCTGGTTGCTCTTCTCTGTACTTTTTCTAGAATCTCAACATCTTTTTTTATAATGTGGTGACCAAAACTGGATGCAGTATTCTAGGTGGGTCTTACTAAGGCTTTATTGGTACTTCCTTTGATCTTGATTGTATCCTTGTTAATGCAATTTAGGATTGCACTAGCCTTTTCGGTTGCTGCTGCACACTGCTGGCTCATATTTAGCTGTCCACTAAGACTCCAAGATCCTTCTCACAGTTACTGCTATTAAGCCTGGTTTCACCCAGTCTGTAAGTGTACTTTTGGTTTTTCTCCACATTGAATTTCATTTTGTTAAATATGGCCCAGTGTGATTGTTGGTCATGCCTATGACCAACATGCCTATGACCAACAAACTGATTTGTTGGTCATGCCAATGCACAGGAATCTAGTCAACTAATGGTTAGCACTATTTTGGTGCTAGAAACGGTCTAATAGAATTCAAGAAGGGTTGGACTTAGTACACTTGTAGAAATATACTCTTTTATAGCTACGTAGATTGAATTCTTTTTTTAAAAAGTGAACTCTACTTCTTCAGTTAAATAATCCAGATGTAAAGATTCTTTAAACCATGTGTATCACTATAGTAGCTGACAATCAGACTACACAAAGTAAAATCACAGTTCTCTCTCCAGGAAATGGTTCATAAATGTGAAAAATAAAGAAAGAAAGAAATAATATCCCAAGAAAAAGACAATTGCTTCTCTAAGAGCACTAAAGCATTACCTTGATGTGTTTCCTGCCTGGCAGTGGATCAGTACCAAGGATTTTCACAATCACTCCACTCTCAAACTGGGGTCCCATTGGATGAATCTTTTCAGCAGGAGCTAAATCATTGTTGCTAATACCTATTAATTTGAAAAAGAACATTAATGCAAATTCTTAGTTTGGTCTCATAATAAATAAACTTATGATTTCATATATGTAATGGAATAATATTGCTAGACTGAAGTACTTCTTTTCTTACAGTTTGGCATACACAGATTACTATTGGTAGTGCAAAGGTATTCGGCAGGTTCTGACCAGTTCTGGAGAACCGGCAGTGGAAATTTTGAGTAGTTTGGAGAACCAGCAAATCCCACCTCTGACTGGAGATTTTACAGTATCCTTCCCCTGCCACAACCACCAAGCTATGGCAACAGAACTGGTAGTAAAATTTTATGTAGTGACATAATTTTTTGAACTAGGTAACATGTATGTATTCATAAATCTTTTTAAAAAGACATTTTACATGTATTATTACCAAAAAAATCTCAACAAATAAGTTTATTAACATTATTAATTTAGCTAATTTTAACTTTTTAAAGTTAATTGATTCCGGAAAGACGTATCTGTGAGAGACCCTCAGCCATTTCTGAATGATCAGTGACTGCAGATAAGTTTGGTTTTTTTCAATTAAATGACCAGAGAATTGAGTTAAGAAATTATTTGTGTAACCAATATATAAACAGACTGCTGTGAATACAGCAAAAATTTGAGACTTTAGTTACTTGAAAGTGGACTGGAAAGTGGAAAGTCTGATAAACATGCTCAATCTTAAGAATTTGTTTTCATTACCATAATGCAGCTCCTTCTTTCATCTACAACCCATTCTAATGAAAGTAGACATTCAAACTAACTTAATCAATAGGGGAATCTTCTAATTTAAATTATTACTAGGGTTCAACAAGCTAAAGACATATTGTAAATAATAAACTGTCCATGCAACTTAAAGGAAAGTTCAGACAAAACTGAATACTTTCTAGATGTCATCAATAGTGCTTAAATGGTCACTTATTTCTAATGATTTCTATTGAGGCACAAGTAACACTTGGCTAATTGATTATAAACCATGCATAAGCATTGCAGACAAATATTGCCAACTCATGTAAAACATCAGTATTTCCCTCTACAGTCCTTCTGAACATATACAAATGCTGTAGAATGTTGTTTTAGGTTGATCGTTCTAGGCCGTTCATCAGGAATTTGGCTTTAAAAAATGCAAAAGCCATGTGATAACTAAAGCAAGAGTTAAGGGGGGTAGACAATACCAAGCCATAAAATAGTCAACAGTGACTGATGCCCACTGGTTGTGGTAGATTACAATGGATTACATTCCTCACCAGTAGAACCACTAGAACCTCCCCTTTGCAATTACATGAAATCTTTCCTGTCCTATCAGCAATTACCATGCTTTTCTATTTTATTTATTTAATTCATATGCCACCCATCGAGTGACTCCAAGTGGCTTATATCATAAAAACCCAAATACAAAAACATTAAAATATTACATCAAAACATTAACAAAAATTGAGTAAACAAGGAACCAGTACATGAGCAGGATGGAAGTGGGGCTCCGCTCCCCTTCCTTCAGCATGGAATTCCTCCATAGGGAGCCTCAAGTCAACCAGCAGAGCCAGGTTTTGAGTCCCTTTTGGAAGGACAAAATGGTGAGAGCAGATCTCACCTCCAGTGAAGATGGAGATTGCACTGGTTGATTTTCTATGCAATGTGAACATCTTTATCAGAAGGTCCTAAGATGAACAAGTAGTCCATATCCAAAATCAATCTTCACTCTATGGAAGTCTGTGTTATTTTATTAAAATAAACAAATTTTGTAATATAAGTTTAAAATTAAATGCATATGTTTCTCATCCTTTCTTAAATCATAAGCTCTTCTCCTTAAAATACAAAAAATTCACAATTATGTTTACATTTGCCATTTCTTGTTGCAGAGTCATCTGCTGGGCAGACATCTATTTCCATTGTTCCAAGAGGCACAGTGTTTGCTTTGGTCATTGCTTTTTTCAGGGATGACATGCTCGCTTTCTGTAGGGTCAAATACTCTTGCTTCAGCTGCATCCATTCATTCCTATAGAAGGGAGATTGAAATATGGTAACACAAAGGTTGGAAATGATGGGAAACAAAATGCTACATGTAAAAAGAATGGAACTTATTTTGTATACAGGGATGAAAGGTTCCTATTTATCCATATGTCATAACTGGTTCTATGATGATTTAAAAGAGAGGCTAAAACACTCATTCATACAAAAGGCATATATATGACTTTTTGAAGTTCATTTATCTGAAGAGACCTGAATTGACTGAAAGCTTATATACTTAAGAAAACTGGTGTATTTCTTGGAAAATAATTACATAATTATTTTCAATTTGTTTCTAAAATACTAAAAAATGTAATTCAATTTCTAGAGCATCACCTAAAATCCATTAGTTTCTAGGGATGCCAGACTAGATAGATTTTGGATTGACTTTAATACCACAAGCAACTGTGCGTATTTTATGTTTGTATACAAAGATTAGTTTTGCATTAACTTTAAGAAAACTTAAATACTATATTAAAATTTGCTTGGATATTCACTCATTCTAGACAGCAGTAGATCAAAGCTTGAATACATGTAGTCCTCATTCAGTGACTATTAAAAATTGATATAGTGCTGAACAAGTAGTACTTATGGCAGGTCCTTGAAGTTCTAAATATCCCAGCATCCCTGCAGTCACCCGATCATAATATGAGCACTTGGTAGCTGTCTCACACATATGATGGCTGCAGTATCCCACAATCACATAATTGCAATTTGGCACCTTCTCTGCTGGCTTCCCATGACCAAAATAAATGCAGAAGTCAGCAGGGAAGGTTACAAACCAGCAAGTTACTTGCACTTTCCCCCGTCTAGTAAAGCTACCCATGTTTCAGATCCACTTGCATCACACATTATCTTGTTTACTCATTCTCACCTGGCAGTGGTCTCCAAACCCCTGTGCTTTACCTGCCTACCAGCATGTTTGTGAGACACCTGGGATATGCTTAACAATCCACAATCCTCAATGATAGGATATGATTGTGTTAGGATTGCTATCACTAAGCGATTCCAATTACTGTCCCTAACCTGTGGTCCCATTTTTTATTTGCTAGTATTGATTAAAGAACAAATAAGTGATTTCTGGATTGCAGATATTTTCTAGACTGAAAAAAATATCATTGAAGTAGGGGATACTGAACTATATTCTATTTAATACAATCAATTTTCTTTTCTTGTAACACAGTGAACAAGACACAATTTGCAGTAGAAGAAAGATAAATTTATGTTTACACTATCAAGTTCTCCTTAGCTACCAAAACACTTTCTTTAAAAAGTGTCACATTTAAAATACATTTAAAAATCAAATGAGCATTTTATAGTAGTTAAAAAGAAAAAAAATCAATAAAAATAGGTTACTGTACAAGTATATGAGAAATTTTATGGGATAGGAATTACAGGAATAACTGGTAAGTTAAAACAGGGGAAATGCTTAAGGTTGCTTGGCCATCTTCAATACTAACATTTTACAAATCATTAATTAAATCAGAAAAAACATTATTAATTAAAAGTCCTTAACACTTGTTATCCCACCTTCCCGGTCAACAATGTAGGCAAACATGCTATCATGTCATTAGAAACAGTAAAAATACTAGCTACTGTTCTCTAACATGGCAAACAAATCGCAATATTTTAACATACTTTGAGAGAACTCTCAGTGGAATAACTTCTTCTCCCATCTTATGTCTCTCTTTATGTTTCTTCTTGTGTTTTCTTTTAGACTTTGAAAGAGAAGTTTCTTTCTTATCACCAATCTCTCTCTCTTCTTCAGTAGAAATTTCTAAATAAAAATGGATTAAAGTTACTATAAACAGCTTGCAAGAAGTTCAGGCCAGTGTGTTTGGTTCTCTCATATGCATTATAATTCTATATTGTATAATATAATTCTATACTGATTAAGGTTACCCCATGATTTTCAGACTGAACTTTGGTTTCTCCAACCCAGACTGATGTACTCAAACTGGCATTTTGATTAGTTTTAAGACATATATGGTATCATTCTTCACTACACAGCATTAAACTCCTTTTTAAATCTCCCATTAAATTTCTAGCCTAATGCAAACATCTTGGAAACATCATGTATATATTTGGAAATACAGAAATGAAAATATGTACTCATTAATAAATCTTTTTAAGCACAATTTAGATCACATAATGGGATTTTCTGAAGATTTCCTCTTCTCTACTTCATCCTATCCACCAGATAGATAAAACACATTGCTGTATATCAGGGGTGTCAAACTTGTAACGACATGTTGTTGTCAAGTGTTGTGTTGCAACTTTTTTCACCTTCGCTAAACTGGGGGTGGGGGTGGCTAGCATGTGATGCATCTGGCCTGCAGACGCGAGTTTGTCACTTCTGCTATATATGGATATGAAAACATTGAGCATGTGGTCCACTATCAGAATGACATCAAGGAAATGGTAACAGTGGATCTACCCTATAAATAATGCTGGAAAAAAATTAACAAAATTATTTTATTTTTCCTACTTTCTTCATTCCAAGAAAGAGTTATACCAGAAATAGGATTTTCTTTCCTTTTTCAACGTGGAACAAATTTGCATTCTGTTACACAAAAACATCAGTATCAGTAGAATTTTTTTCCCAACCCTGTTCACAATTAGAAAATCAGTTGGAAAAATTAGAAATATAAAACTACCTTTGGAATCCTCCAGCCCTGCTGAATGCTCCTTTGCAGAGTGAACATTATCTTTCTGAGAAATTTTCTTCACTTTTACAACTGACATCTCTCCATCATCAGAGCGATTCCGTTTCCTCTTTCCTGATCTAGTTTCTCCTAGGCCTGAGCTTTGTGTTTTATCAAGTTTCTTCTTTTCTTTCTTTGAAGAGTGTCTTTGGATTTCTGACAAGTCTGTTTCAGAACTCTCTGATATCGTCCTATGACTTTTTGTGTATTCTGTAGAACTGGTCATGTATACATCTTTTGCTCCAGTGTTTGATTGGCTGTTTTCCTTCTTTGTTTTAGATTTTTTCTTTTTCTTCTTCTTCTTTTCTTCTATGCAAAATAAGAAAATTTATCTCAATAGTCTGAATAAATTACATTTTGCCCTCTTTGATTCCAAGGAGTCTACAGAGGTGTTTATGGTTATTTATTCATTTATTAACTTTATTTGCAGCCCATTAGCAGCTAAACAGTATAATAAACATTAAAACATTAAAATCATTGAATATAAAATAACAAAAGACAAAATAAAATCATTAACACAAGATGGAAAAAGAGGGAGCCAGGTATTGGGGGGGGGGGGAGGTTAGCTCTTAATTAGTCAACCACCTCCAGTGTGAAACTCCCCCACTGGGACCCCAAACCATCTGGCAGAACCAGGTTTTAAGACTCTTACAAAAAGACAGGAGGATGGGAGCCAATCTCACCCCAGGGTGCTAAGATATTCTAAAGGGCATCTTTTCCTCCTATGCTTTTTCAAAACTCCTCTACTTGATGAAGACTGAGGAATGTAACAAAATTCATGGACAAAACTAAACATATCAAGTTAATACTCACCAACTACAGTAGAATCACTTGTAGGTAATGTGGGAACGGCTTTGTTTTTTATTGTTTTGGGAAACATACCAGGTTTTCTTGGTGCATCTTCTGGTGGGTTATTCAAGAACTAAAAATGCAAAAGTCAGATAATATATTATCTATTTGAACACATAATCTGTGATACAATATACATAGTCCTCGCTTAACAACCACTCATTCTGCGACCATGCTAAACTACAATGGCCCTGAATGAAGGGAGATACAACCTATGCCTGAAGTTATGAAAGTTGCAGTGCCACCATGGTCACAACAGAAATTCAGCCATTTGACAGAGTGCCTTCCCTTGCAATCACAGAGTTCCCTTGGGACTTCCTCCTGCATCTAGGCTGCCCAGCATAGCAGCACTCAAATACAGCGCCACACCTGGGCCTGAATTAGAAGCCCAAGACTTTCAGCAGTCTCAGCATCTGCTACCACCCCAGGCCATGATATCAGCCCTAGCAACACCACTACCATTCAAAATACCAGTTGCGCCTTTCCACAAGGCTCACCAGCCTTAGAGAACAGGATCTGCCACGCGTCACTTACCTTCAGACATTTTTCTCCTGCTGTTGAGAGGTCTACACAGCTTATCTTACATAGCTCCCAGTTGTACCAGGCCTTTTTTCCTGAAACCATACTGAAACCAGTTCTGGTGAGGCTTCAGAAGCTTTCTGAAGCATCAGATAGGGCATGCAGACCAGAGGTGGTATTCAGCAGGTTCTGACCAGTTCTGGAGAACCGATAGCGGAAATTTTGAGTAGTTCGGAAAACCGGTAAATACCACCTCAGACTGGAGTTTTTACAGTATCCTTTCTGCCATGCCCATGAAGCCCACCGAACTGGTAGTAAAAACATTTGAATCTCACCACTGATGCAGACCTCTTAACAGCAGGAGAAAAACACCAGAAGGATTGACGAACAAGTTCTGTAATGCCAGTGCCAGGAACTGGAAACTAATATTCATAAAGTATTTTTTTTTAGAGTTCTAAATGTTTGACACTATTAAGACATTTTCAGTAGAGCACAATATCTTCCTTCAGATAACAGATTCTGTATTTCCAAGTTCTATTGCAGTGCGAGTCTTTCAATGGCTGAAAAATTCACACTGAAAGACTGAAAAGAGTCACACTACAACTACAAAAGATTTTAACCACTGAAAGATTCACATTACACTACAAAAGATTTTATAAAAACAGTATTTTTATAAAAGCTAGAATTGTATATATTAAACAACTTAATGAAAGGCAAAGCAATGTTTTCAAATGCTTATAACTCACCTCTATAGCTTTTTCAGCTTGTTCTTTTGTTTCAAATTCCACAAATGCAAATCCTTTAGGATCTTTGGAAGTCTTATAGCGAGGAATGCTGATATAAACTACATTGCCACATTTTCCAAATACTCGTTCAATCCAACTGTGATTGACGTTTTTAGGAAGCAATTCCTATAGCAAAAGATTTAGCAACAGACATAAAGCTACATTTTTATGTATGTATACACCACCAAAACACCAACTTTGATTGCACATTTATTTATGGGCCGTTATAGTAATATTTTATAATTAAAACTAGCAATTTAAGTGATGTGCAATCCAGAAGTGTCACGAATAAATATGACATCTATCATTTATAATCAATTTTGGCAGATAAATACATTCACACACATATAGTAATGCTCAGTGGTAGGGTGACAGCAATGGTTTATGATTTTGTATTTCACATAATAAGTAATATTTTGTCCCGTGCACAAAAAACTCCAAGTAAAAAACTGGGAATTATCTTTATTAATTCAACTAAATGCCACAAAATATGCATATTCAATGTTTCTAAAAAAAATATGTTTCTTGATGCAGAAGAAATTTTCCTATTTCCCTACACTGTTCCATAAATGTGCACCCATGAACTATTAAAGTGCCTGAATCTATTTAAATCTATAATTGGCTTAGCTATATGGTTGCAACTGAAGGTCTTCCAAAATGGGTTGCAGTTTCTCATTCAGGTATGAAACTGGAAATGGAAAAAAAAAAGGCTGCAAAAGGTCAGAGGAGACAACAGTTCCAGGAAACATTATTATAACAATTCAATGGAGAAAAATAAGGTGAACTGGGTTAGTGGGATAGACTTAAAAAATTAATTAACTAAGAAAACCATGAATATCTAACCTTGATATCCATATTTACATTTTAGAGCAAATCTAAATATTCAGTTCAATTACAAATAATCTCCTGATCTGGGCATCTCCAACATATATTTTAATCCAGCTAGTGAGTTGTAATTGGAAAAAGTGATTGTACTCAAAAGAAGTGGTAACAGAAGGTAAGTAATAAGATAAAATGATAATGTTGTGTGTGTGTGTGTGTGTGTGTGTGTGTGTGTGTGTGTGTGTGTGTAGTTGTGCTTTTAAAGACGTGGGAAAATCCTGAAAAGTGAAGTTATAATGGCCAAAATATATTTTTTTATAATTGTGACAGTGGAAGAAGCACCAGTTCTGATTTCATTCAATGGATTGACTGTTCTCTATCCCATTCTCACAGGATTAAGAGAAGATTTTAAGAAAAGAGAAATCTCCCTCCATGAATCCTATTCTTTCATAAACTCTTGTTCAATGATCTACAGAAAAAAATATTGTACGTCAGCACTCAGAAATTGAGGGTTTTGCTTGAAAGGAGAGAGAAGGAGGTGGCATACCAAGACTCTCCTGGCTTATGCTGGACAATGTTTTATAGTTATGTTAAAGAGAGCCAAAATATTGTGCCAACTGGCTAAAGTTCTAAAAAAGGGTGTTTAAAATTCTACCTATACAAAAACCATTGCAATACTTAATTGGCTGTTTCTAAGGAAATATTAAAAATAATAAAGCGAAAGAAAATAGGCACTATCTTACCACATATACGGTACGACTATCCACATCTTTTGGTTCATCACCCAAAGGTTGCCGCCTTCTGATCCTGATTCCTTCTAAATCCAACTATAAGGCATAAAATTAAATTAAAAATCTGTTCCAAATATTTCCTCCTTTTGCTCTTACAGAATAAAAAACAGTTTTCATACTCACTTCTACAACAGATGAACTTTTAACTGCTCGTGCTATCAATTTTCTGTCAGTGGTTAATTTTTTCATTTTGTTGAAAGAAATCAGAAGTGATATGTCAACATCTAAAATTAAAAGAATTAAAATTAGCACAGAACATTGTAACTTGAATTGAAAAAAACTTGCTATACCAATCTTGGGAACTGATGAATGGAAATGCTCAATTTTTCTGATTGGATAAGGGAAAAGAATAGTTGGTTTTAGTAAAATTTGAACTCTCGAAATGAGTTGTTTAAGGGCGACTGATCAGTCATAAGCGTGAGGTCACTATTGGGACTTTAGTTTAGTGAAACAAAGAAGATATATAGTACAATAGTACAAAATTGTATACAATATGCTTCCTTTTGGGAAAAAGCCTTGCATATTTAAGTTCTACAATAAAGCCTATGCTTCAATTTATTCATAAATTACTCCATAATTGATTTTAAAGTTTCATTATAATCTTCATTACATTTCAGATAACTATACATAAATGCAATATAACTATCAGATGAGATTCCAGGAAGGACTCCCATAAAAAGAACTCTACCACCATAAACACTTCCTATTTGTATAGCAAAACTGATAAAAGTCTAATGTATGGTATTCTATTATATGGGTGCACAAAAATTAAATTAGTCAGAAAAGCAGCAAAGGGCCAATTGTTTTTAAATAAACTAAATCTGTAGTTGATATAGATATCTGTAATAATATGCATGTGCGTGTTATGTGTATATAACCAACAGGAACTATTTTTCAAGAACATTTGTAAGCCGCTGGGGAGTTACCATGTTTGGGTGGTTACATAAATTTAATAAATAAATGAACTGCATGTCAGTAATAATGTATTTTTAATTGCCAGTTAAAAACAAGCAGACTTACATCCATCTCTAGATTTTTCTATTTGTTCTCTAAGAAATTTGTCTTTGTGAAGATTAACATCACCAAACCAGAAGTCAACTTGCTTTGCTATATCTGAAAGCACTTGTTTAACTCTAGATCTTTTCTTTTTTTCTCGTTCCTTTCTTTGTTCAGTAGTTTCTTTCTCCATAATTTTGCTTCTTATATTTTCTGTTTCCATTCCTATCACACTGTCATCTGAAAACAAAGCATAATTGTCATTTTCAACATAAATGTATCTACTTTATACTTACATTACACAATATGTTAATTAACAAAGTAATTTTAAGAAGAGATCTTTTTCTTACAAAATATATGTAGAGAGGAGCAAAACTGGAGATGGCTGTTCAGTGGGAAACAAAGGACTACATTTGCAAATATGAAGCTATTAAAAGAATAACAGCCTGGAAATTTTCAATAGTAGTTTGCTATTCCACATTTCTCAGACAACTATAACTACATTTTCTTTTATTTCTAAAATATAGCATTCTGTCAAAACAATATGGCAATACACAGCAGAAAATGCATTTATTTACATTAGAAAACACGAAGAAAGAATAGCAATTCTTGTTATATTTGCAAGACATACAAGTATCTGAGCAAATATATAAATATTAAAAGAGCAACTTATCAAAAATAACAGATTTAATAGCACGAGCCCAATTCACACCTTGAAATCCTCACTGAACCCAACACCAAGTAAAATATAAAGTGATAGTCTTGTGCTAAAGAAGGATCCATTTCTGCCATATGCTTCATCATGAGAATTAAATATTCTTTTGAATCTTAAAAATATTCTAAGGAGAGAAAAAAGTGCTCTTCAACATCAGCAAAAGTTTTAACTGTTACAAAAGCAAGCATTCCACACAACCTTCTTCAATCTCTCTGCCAATGAGACATTAGTAGATATTTCATTTTAGAACCATGTGCTAAAGAATATATACAAATATATACTTCCTGCTGTGAAATGGCCATTCACAGCTATTAAGGATAGTGTATTTCCAATTATAATGCCAAAGGAAAACAAGACCACAGTTTCCCAAGTGGGCAAACTTACAATCCTGATGCAACATTTCTTAAGATATTTTACTTTTCAATATATGAATATGCAGCTCGCTAGGTAAATTAATGTATAAAAATTTACAATCAAAAAGCTGTTTCCACAATAGATAACGTAATTATCCCTCCGGAACGCTTTCAAGAACCCCCAAAAGCAGCCAAGTAACTATTGGAAACACAATGTTTATACTGTTTAATCCCGACTTACTTTGATCTTCGGAAGGCACTTTCTATGCCAGAACCAGAAGTTAATGAAAGCGTTTGGAAAACGAAATCAGCTATCCAGGCAGGGCTGCAAATCTCGCAATTTTTTTTCCTTTGCTTGGGATACAGCAAAGAGTACGAACTCTGAGGGAAGACGAGAAGCTGCCCGTGGCTCTTTCCCTTCAGCAAGGACAGGGCCGGGCTTTGAAGATCCCAAAGAAGCTGCAGAGCCCTGCCTCGCCTTGGGGCTCCCTCAGAACTGAACGGGCTGTGCAGCCGGCGGAGGCTTCTTGGCTGCGAGGAGCGACGGGAGCCACAGCAAAACGTTTCCGGAGGACACTAAGCGAGGAGTGCCAAGTCTAAGCAACCTAAGGATCTCCCCAGCTCTTCGGGTTGCTGGGCAAAGCCCTCGAACGGCCCCTCCAGCTACTCAGAGGGAAAGCCGAGCACATCAGCGGCGACAGCTTTCACCACCTCAAGCCCCCGTTGCAAGCGCGCCTCCAGATAACGTCAGCAGCGCCACCATCTCGACGGTTGAAAAGGGCTCCTTCAGCTCCCCCCCCCGCTCCCCGCTCAGCACGCGCCGTGCAGATCTGGAGGGGCTTGATTCTGGTGCGCGTGCGCGAGGGAAGTGATGGGTTAAATCCTCCCCCCTGCACACACATACATAAACACCCTTTCGTACCCACGTGCTCTCGAAAGGACCCGACGCCAGGCACCAAGATGAGGACTTCAGAGTAAAGTCATAGTCTACTCTAAGCCGCTTGGAAGCTCCGATTCTCCGCCCCGTCCACAACTTTAGGATGAAATGTTCGCGCGACACGCGGGAGATCCCCTTTCTTCCTGGTTTTTTTTTATATTGGCTGGCTGGAAGGTTGGCAACCCCGCCAGGATCCGTTTATATGGAGGCGCGTTGAAGATTCGTAGCCTTTCCCGTTACGGATCCACAGAGAGAAAAAAAGTTTAAACGTGCGCTCATGCGCGTGTCTGTTTAGAAGAGTGATTTTTTTTTTTCAAAGATGTTTCAGTGATTTTCAAGCTTGGCGACTTATTTAGAGTCATGCTGGCTGCGGAATTCTGGGAATTGAAGTCCACACCTTTTTAAGGTGGCGAAGCTTGATAAATACTACTAAAAATCGCTCGGTAGCAAAAAGATGGCTTTTAGCGTCGACAATGCTAGCGCGTTGACCGTATATCACTGGGAAATTGGGATAAAATCCCGGTCAAAAAGACCAAAAGGTGACTTTGACCGAAGTCGTTACCTCAACCAAACTCACCTTACAGGGATGTTGTGTGGGTAAAATAGAGGGAGGAATATTAGGTATGTTCGCCTTGAGCATTTATAATAAAGGCATGATAACAATAAACAGTATTTTCATCTACCACACGGGTAAAAATGCATGAATTGGTTGATCTAGGAAACTAAGCAAAGTAGACTCGAGTTGGCGGGGGACGGCCTGGGATTTCATACTTTCACTAGATTGAGAAGATCTGGGAGACAAATCAGGAAAAGGCCGTGGTAAAAACGTGCTGCTGCCACCAGGACTCGACCTTGACTTTACATTAAATTCATCAGAGCTCCTTCCCTAGTACATTTGATTAAAACTGCTGTCGTCGCCTCCTTCTGTCTAAAATTGGATCTTCAAACGTGACAGCTTTAAGACTTGTGGACTTCAACTCCCAGAATCCCTCCTCCAGTCATATTAGCTTAGGAATTCTGGGAATTGAAGTCCACAAGTCTTAAACTCGCCAAGTTTGAAGATATTGGCACCGCTCTACCCTTAATCAACTTTATGGTTTAAAAACCTTCCAATACTGTACTCCATACAAGAGTCGGCGATCATGACGGTACAGCATTTTTTGTCTCTATGGTATTTGTCGCGTCGTAGAGACGTCATCGCGCTTGTGAAGCGGGAACTTTCGTAAGGTAAAGTTCTGCTGACAGAGAGGAGGCGCTGCCATCCTCGCGGCTTGTGAAGGAGCTCGGTCGACAAGATTATCAGGTTTATAGGCTCCCTTTGGCTAATCTGGCTGAGGACTGTGGTCAGTCCTAATCTGGCTGAGGATCTGTCAGTAGGTGTGATATCTAATTCGTTTTATGCTTTTTTTTAATTAACATCAGATTTGGGTGCCGTTTCTTTCTCTTATCCTCTAATGAAAAAGAGACAGCGGGTTCATCTAGTTCTCCTATCATCTTCTTTCAGTCACCACAGTCTTTTGAAGCAGGGGTGAACAATAGATGCTTCCCCGAGCCCCATTCAACTACATTGCTGAATTTCACTCTAGTAATTACTGAAAAGCAACAGTGCAGTTTCTTGTTCTTGTGTGATAGGAAGCCCCTAAACACTATAGCCATAGGTCATAAATCGGTTTAAGATGCCTTTGTCTTTGTTTGAAAAGTCTCCCATTATTTTAAAAATGGCAATTCTGTGATCTATGCAACATGTAATACTATAGTTATGCCCATGTTGCATTTGAGACTCATCCCCCCTCAACCTAAAGAAATTCAATTACAAAGGGTTGCTGCCTCTTGAAACTTGCCTCTTTCTCCGAGATTTATTCTATATAAACCCAATTCTTCCACAAGCATTTCGCAGCAAAGGAGACATTTTTATTTATTTATACCTTGCCTTTATTATTTTCCCAAATAACTCAAGATAATGAACATATTCAACATATTTTTTCCAATTTTCCCCACAACAGCAATCTTGTGAGGTGAGATGGGTTGAGAGAGAGGGACTGGCCCAAAGTCACCCAGCTGGCTTTCATGGCTTCACAATCTTTGCTTTCTAGCTTGGTGCCTGAGCCATTAGACCAAACTGGTTCTCATGACATAAAATGATTGACATAAAAAAGGATGACATAAAAGTAATCCATAAATCCATGGGGGAAAAGCATGGTCGAAATGTAAGTCAGAATTGTAGTTTAATGTCATATAATTTATTAATAGGGAAGGTAAAAATGAGATTAACAAAACAGGGAACAATGTCAGGCATGTTTAGAATTCAGGGTAAAATAAAAAATAGATTGCAACTAGAATTATAGATATGTTTATATTACATTTAGCAAGTCTGATCTGCAGTAATTATATGCTTTCAAGTCAGTGGTGACTTTTTGTGATCACATAGTGATCACAGGCTTTCTCCAGGATGACATCTTCCCAGCCTGGATCTTCAGATCTCCCATGGTATAACTATTGCTGCCGCATGAAGCCAATTCTCTTCCACCTTTTCCAGCATCATGGACTTTTCAAGGGAAGATGTCTGAAATATCAGTTGAGTCTGTCGTGAGAACTCTGGATTGATCAGTGGTTGTTTTTTTAAATAGTCAATTAGCTTGATCATTAATCGCATTACATAATTACAAAGCTTTTCTGAGAAAGATTTAAATGAGACATCTTGTGGTCATTACATGGAATTGAACATACTGAAGAAATGCATTAGATTACACTTCTTAAAAACAAAATTCAATTTTTTAAAAAAAAAAACCTCAGAATAAATTGATTTAAGAGACATCATGTAGCTAAGGTTATATTCTTATAGAAATTTAAATATCTTCATTTAAAACAAGATATATTTCTGAAGATGTGCTTATGGTAATGTACTGCTTGGTTTTATTTTAAAAAAATTGTTCTAGACTAATTTTCATTGAAACTGGAATTTCTAGATGCATACATGTAAATCACCTTTTGAACTAGAGAATTCAAATTCCTCATATTGTTTAAGGAAATAATATAAAATGACATTTATAAACTATAATAAATATTTAGCTTAGAATTTCAGAGATATTATTTTAACAGGATATTTCCCTTTACAGGTGATGTGATGATTGGAAGTGAAAGCAGGTGGTGTGATCTTAGCATGTCAACATAATGGCTTATCAGGAATTTATTGTGAGTCTATAATCTTATTTCAATAATATTTCATACATTATATATTTCATTTTGCAATACAAAAATCAATATAGTGAAACAGTAATCAAGAATATATTTTCACATATCAATATAGGTTTTGTACACACATCAAAAGACTAAAAAATCTAAAGTGTGGCAAGATGGAATTTTGAAGGCTGCATTTGGAGGAAATAAGGTAGGATCAGTTTGTAGGTTCAGTTTGGTGTACAGTGTCAGCAGTTTTATATCTGTTAATCCATTTATATCTGTACTTAAGGAAATACCCACCATCTTTTATTGTTCTTGTTTAATACAGGCAAATTTGTTTGATGATAAAGGACAGCTCTTGGACAGTATTTTCATAAAATTTCAGGTATGTGCTTTTGTTTTTATTTGTTTAGTACAGATTATTCTGAACTCATGACAGTGGAGCCCAGAATTTTGGTCATGTTGTGATAGTAAGGCATCACATGATCAGATTTGATTTTATGATCTTTTTTATGATGGCTGTGACTCATGATGGTTATAAAACAAATTATATGGCCGGTAAAGCGAATCAAATTAATTTATTAAGCAAATTCATTCTTTTGAATGAGGTTTTTTTCTGGAAACCAGCAAAAAACATTGCAAATTGTCTTTGCAACTGATAATAAGCCAGTTGTCAAGATCATGTGACCATTGCTGGCCATTGCTGGCCACTAATCTGTTTCACCCAGTTCTATCCAAATTGGCTTTCTGTAAAGGTTTCATATTAGCACAGTGAGATATAATTTTCTTAAGGTCATTGCACACTTTGATCAAGTCTACACCTTATCTCAGTCAAATGGGTGGAACATGATTAGTGTTGCCTGTCACATCCTTGATTCTGTGTGTCCTGTCAGCTCACCCATGACATTTTTGACTACCATCCTGGCTGATGTCATTGCTACTTTTATTGCAAAGCCTTTGATTCATTTCTCTTTTGACCCACAAACTCTTATCTTTTATGTACTTCCCAGTAAGAAGATTGGAGTAAATTGTTGTCACTTGAGGGGTTCAGCTTTCAGGAACTGATGTAAGCTTAGTGGAGACAAGTATTAAGCCTTGCCAACTCTTGGGAATATTGGAGCCATGACTCATGTAAAGTACTTTCTGCAGATGCAATGCAGATGACATTCACTTAATAGGACACTCCCAAAAGTAACCTTATTTTTCCTAAAAGACAGCTGAAGCAGTGAGTAGTAATTGGGCTCAATACCAAACCCAGCCAAGATGGTAGAAGTCAAGAGAACAAAACATGGACAAGAGAGCAATATCAAGCACACTTTTTCTAAACCAACCAATGCATAGTAAACTTTCTTTTTCTCATTCATACATTTTGCAGTGTTCTACTGAACAACAAAACTCTACCCTTCAAACAAGTATATTTTAATTAGTTATCACTAAGATCCCGGGAAAACAAAATGGTCTAAAAGATATAAATGCTTAAAATATTCAGCTAATCTTATGTGGAATCAAGTTTACCTAGCTATGCTTAAGAGTCCAACAGAGAAGCAGTATTGATATACTATGGAGTTATATAAATGTACTGAAATTTAAAATATTTTTATCCATCTCTCTAGATAAAACCTGGTGATGACTTTGAATCTGAACGATATTTAATCACTGTAGAAAGTGAAAATGTTTCTAAAACTGATTATAATCAGTCAAACAACACAGAAAAGGGAAAATTAAGAAGTAATTCCTTGAAATCCCTTGCTACTTCATCTCTATGCCATCCAAAGCGAAAATCTGTATGTTGTCTTTTCTTTTTCTTTGATACTTTTAACATTTGAAAGGATTGTACAGTGATCTGGGTTTGAAAGAAAAAAGGTGATTTGGATCATTCAGGAATACTCAACTAGTACTTATCATCAGATCTTTAAGGAATTATTTACAAATGGTCCTCAACAATAACAACAAGTTATGACAATGCTGTAAAAAGTGAGTGATCTATCTTCACACTTATTGTTGTAGCACCCTTGTGTCACATGATCAAAATTTGGGCTTTTGGCAACCACCATGTATTTATGATGGTTGCAGTGTCCTGGAATCATGTGATGAACATTTGGGACATTCAAGGGACATACTGATAAGCCAAGTCAATGGGACGAGTTAGATTTGCTGAACAACTGAGTGATTCACTTAATGAACATGGCAAAAAATCAGGTGGAACTCACTTAATGACCAGATTGCTTACTTAATGATGATGGAAGTCCTAATCCCAATTGTAGACATAAGGTAAGGACTGCCTAAATCTTTTCCTATGTGCGTTGCCTCTCCAAAGATATTTGCAGTAAGCAGATGCCAATAGGTATGCCATGTAGGCACGCATGCTCACTTCAAATCACCTTTTTCCCCTTTGGAACTTGATCACTTAAGTAAATTCTAATTCAGTAGCAAATTTTGTGTTTGTCATTATTGGTAATTCTTGACAATTGGGCTGGAATTTCCATAGCTAAGTGACACATTTGTAAAGTGTAACTGTATCACTTAGCAAGAGTAACCCCTGCATTCCCAGTTGCCATTCTGAATGAATCCCATAGTCATTAGGCGAGGCAAGTTCCTGCCAACTTTCCCTAATCAAGTTGATGGAGAAGCTAGCAGGAA